AAAATGGCGTCAGTAAAAGTGGGGGGGGGGGGGGGGAGGGGAAGAACGCACATATCAAAAAGGAAAACCAGCAGGCCTATTAAGTTTTCACTAAACTATAGAAACTGTCTGTGCACCCGCTCTTGAGAGTTCAAGCGTTGGCGCTGAGGGAGAGATTTTTTGTGAGATTGATGAGAGACGATGCGCGATCAGATGTCATCTTGGCCCCACCAGATTCAACTTCATTTCCACGCTTCTGCGCAGGACATAAAATACAAATCTTAGCCGCCATAAAAGACATGAGAGTCGAAAACAAAGTTGTCTTGTCAGCTCCTATTAGTGTGTTTTAACAACATATCTTTACATAAATAAAGAGTATGAATTTATGAGAGCAGAAAGGGACTCACCGTGAAGTCATTCTCATTGTAAATGCCTTCCATCTTCAAAGTAGCGGGCTTGCTGCTCCTTTTCGCCTGAAGAGACTGTTCTCGGCTTTCGTAAAAATTAAAATCATCTAAGAGGGTTGTTTTTGCTGTGTAACTCTTGAATATGTTCAACATTTCCAGACCTTGCTTTAGTCCAATCTGCAAATTACAACAAACATGAATATCAGATACTAACTGAAAAAACCAAAAGGAACATGAGAGTAGAGAGACATGAATAAATAAATGATGATACTGAGGAGACGAGGATAAGCGATACTACCTCTTGGGTATCACGGGTAAAAGTTACAGGTTTGTTGTCATTGTTTTCAAGGATAATGTGACGCAACTGAGTGTTTGGTACATCTTTAACGATATGCCATCTAACGGGGAAGAACCCACTCCATTTGTCAACTTGCCAGAAGTCCATGTCCTTGTTAAAATCTACCTGCCCAATCATCTCTGCTATGCCAACAAACTGTCCACTCCCATTTACCTATTCAGAGAAAACAAGCTACAGTTCAGTGACGGGGCATATTCAAACATTGATCAAGAATCAAAAACTGCTTTCATCAAAAAGTCAGTATCCAAACTCACAGAAAAGAATAGGAAGATTGGACAATTTTTGCCCATCTCACTGGATTTAGCTTCTGCATCATGGAATGATGAGTCTAGTTTCTTATTCCCATTTGGGGTACTAGCCCAAACGTCGTACTTAATAGACTTGTGAACGTCATCTTCGCTGTAGGACTTGATGACATAAAACTTTGCATTTACATTATCAGTTTGGAAATCAGGAAGATTATATTGATCCCTCCGGACTGCTAATCCCAGTTCCTCCTTCTCAGAAGAAGAATCCAAAAGATCCTTGTTGCGGGACCTTGGACCACGAGTTAGTTCGGCGGAGGCTTCAAAATCTCCATTCCTGCGACTTTTGCCCTTAGACTTAAACTTATGCTACTTTTGTCCTTAGACTTAAACCTATCGTTTCCACTCCATATTCGCCCATATTGCTTATAATTTGAGAAACCAGTATACGGGAACACGCCTTGTTTCTGATTACTAAATGACGCAAACCTTCCAACTTGGGGTTGGGGGTATCCCTTCAAAAGGCCGGCAGCAGTTGAGAAATCAGAACCTAAATGAGGCACCTGCAATATTAAATGTCATATAATTTGAGTCACAACTCCCAACATGATTAATTAGTGCAGGATATAACCATGCTTAATAAATAGCTCCACCCAGAAAAATTCCAATGGATAGACTTGACGCTCAATTGATATCATGAAACACCAACAACATATGCATATTATTGTCAAGTTACATGAAAATACCTTATTCAATGATTTGACAGGTTGCGTAGGAAGAAGAGGCTTGGAGAATTTGCTTGTGATACTGCCATTAGATTTTGTAGAATTAAAGGCATTCGATCTTGCTAGACCAGTGGACCGCAGACCGGACTTCGCATTTGGAAAACCACCACTTGCTCCATTAGGAACCTCCTTACCAAATGTAGGGTCCCATGAATAGCAAGACATGGCTTCTGAACCGTAAGAAACAGGTGGTTGATGATATCCTGACGACGAAAAATATTGTTGCTGACCAATACCTTGTCCATCAACTCCCATAATGGGCCCTGATGTATATGGGTAGTAAAAGACCAATGAACCATTATCTGATTGCAAACCCTGTAAAGAGGGAAAAAGGCTTCACTACGCACTTAAATTTACGGCAGGACATAGTTTAATGTATGTACATCTCCAGAAAGAGAAATAAAAAAAGAAAAACTTACCGTATTAGATCCATTAGCATGAAAATAACCGTGATCATCCACCTGAGCAAAAGATCCATTGTATCCTACAATATAACCAAAAAACTCTTACAAAAAAAGTATGAAACCAATGATAACTTGGAGGTACTATTAACCTTAGGACATGATTTAACAAACCAATAATAAAGCAAATCAAATGGAAAGATAATCATTACAAAAGGCGGAAAGACTAGACTTTGGCCCCATTCTTTTCGCAGGTTCGAGTTGAAAAGTGAATTATGTGAGAGAAAACATTGTAGTTGAATTTGAATTTTCGTTAGAGAAAACACTGTAGCAAAGGTTTGAGGTGTGATACAAGTTGTGAAAAGAATGCACCCCTATTCTACTTTTAGCTTTAGCGTAATGTTTTCACACTTTACACATGATAAATTTAAAGGAAAATAAAATAACAACAACAACAACAACAATAATAATGTTAATAATAATCGAAAGGCACTGATAAAACATGAGCAATAAATAATAAAGGCCCCAAATACAAGAAATTTGCAGTATCCATTTTCTTGCTCAAGTTACTTCACGGAAGATTTCCTTTCAGCAACTCTTAGGAACTCTGAATGTACTTAATGTTTAGATTACTTTACCATAGACATTCGTAAAGGAAAGTCTGAAACAACTTAGATACCTTTAGATAGACCATGTTTGACATCTAACCTGGAAGATAATAATTGTAAGGAGGACCGTATACACCATGCTCTCCAACTGACCCTTGATCAGTCGTACCTTTGATGCTAGGGGTGACATCCTTTGATGTAGATATGGCGGTGATCAAATTAGATGGTACTCCATCTTTCCCTTTAGCCTATAACAAAAATAAAAAGAAGAATGATTATAAAATTCCACATCACGTTTGAAACTATATAGTAATTAGCCTTCACCCTCCAACCCAGGTCTCCCCTTACCATAAGAAAAATGAAAAACGTACAGATCAAAAAGTTTTTAACATTAACATACCGCGTCTTGCTCAGCCACAGCAGTAACTGGATCCGATTTCAACAATGTAACCACAGGCTCAGCTGAATTATAAGGTTAAGAAAAAAAGCACGGCGTAATTGTATAAACAAAAAGTAATTGAGGCCAATCATTGAGCACAACAGTTCAAAAAAAAAATCAAAAAGTAAAAAAATTCGCGAAACCTACAGAAAATAATGCAGTTCATTAGTCCACTACCAGTGAAAATCAATATGGATTGTGAATCAAAAACTTCATCAAAATATAATCCGGGGACAAAACCTCATCACAGCAAGAACGCATCAGATATGATTGCAAAACGTTTGAGGAAAATAAAGCCAAGCCCATAAAATCTTTCACCCCAGGAAAAGAGAAAACAACGTTGCTTCTCAGCAGGTTCATAGAGATTCTAGCAAGATCTTGAGACTATAAAAAAAAACAAAAAAACAAACAAACAAACAAAGTACGTCAAAGAATAAAAAGGATACAGCTTTCGATTTTCTTCTCGCCAGCCATTACCAGCACACGAACCTCAATTCAACCCTACAATTAAAACAACGCAGCGAAAGAATAAATAAGAAACAGACGCTTCAGAAGAACGAGCGAGTCTATCTTGGCTTTACAAAAATACGGTTCTGTTAGCGGAAGAATATAATTTAAAACTTAAAAAAAAATTCCACTAATCTTAGCACTTAAGGATTTGCGCAAGTATAAATATTCAACAAAACATTATTTATAAGCCTAAATAAAATAATATAACTACGTAAAAAAAAAAAAGAGCTGGCGCACGTTAGAACATAGCCACGAAATTGGGTATTGCCGAAGAAGATTCCCTTTCTCTTTTGATAGGGACTCGTGGATTCTCTCTTTTTTTCCCAAATAGTTTCTCACCAGAAGAAAAAAAAAAATCAAACAGATTTTTATCAAAAAAAAAATCAGATATTTTGACTCCGATTCGGAATTATAATTATTGCAGAGTCAAAAGCCTGACGAGTCACGACGACTTGACAACAAACCAAGACCGAAATTCTCTCTTTTTTATAACCAAAAAAAAAAAGATTTCAAAAAAAAAAGAACAAAAAATTGTTAATCTCTCTCTCAAAAACGAAAAAACTAAATTCTTTTGAACGTGAAAACCCCAATTTTTCAGTAAATTACTTTCACACTGTAGGTTAATGTTTTTAAAGTAACACCGAAGCTTCAATATTCCGCAGAGAATATAAAATAAATACATATGTAAATATGTGTGTGTGTGTGTGTGTGTGTGTGTGTGTGTACGTTTAGATAGAGAAACTGAAGCTACTGAAAAAATAAAAAATAAAAAATCACAACTTTCAATTTTCAAATGTTAATCTGTCTCACGAAAACGAAAAACCTAAACTTTCGAGTAAAGTACTTTCAGAAGAGATATAGACATACATATATATATATATATAGAGAGAGAGAGAGAGAGATATATATATATATATATATAGAGAGAGAGAGAGAGAGATAGAAAGACGTTACTACAAATTAGACTGCCATTAACACTATAACTAACCAAAAAAATCGCAGGTCGAGTTCGATCTCTCAAGCTCGCTTACTGGTTTCTGCGAATTCGACCGAAAAAACAAGAAGATACGAACCTAGGAAGAAGACAGCGGATCGGAAGGAGCAGAGCAGAGGCGATCTAGGGCAAATCGGAAAACCGCCGTTGGAGAGCGAAAAGCTGTTTCCCAGAGAGCGAGAGGCGGTGGTGGTGGCTGACTGACTCTTGAGTCTTCGTGACCAGTCGAGAGAGGGAGAGCGGACATATGTTGCGTAGCCCTTAAAACGCTGAATCCGACGGCTCAGATTACTTCTTTCTTTGGTCAATAAGGGATTTAGACCGTCGGATGAATGGGCTCAAGACTTCCGCTTTGTTAGATTTGAGAATGGGCCTTTTCTTTTTTTCTTACATTTTGGATTGGGCGTTTTCCAAGTCCGATGTTATATGGGAAACGAAAAGGGGGATATAGACACACAAAAGTCAAAATAATTGTAATATCAAATTATTTCGAAAGGCGTTTTAGAAAATAGTTATTTTCCTCACTTTCTTAAAAGGGATTTACTTATCCTTTCAAAAAATAAATAGGATTATTTCCGTCATATTCCAATTTATTGTGATTACATATTATACATATACTAAAAAAATGACGGATTTTACTGTTCACGTATTATGAACTGTTATGTCTTTTTAAATGTACAATTACCATATTGCCCTTTATTTCCTCTTCATTTGATTTTGTTACTTTTCTCGGTTGGCTCATTCTATTTGACTTTTTTTATTTTCTCTGTTTTGGTTTTTTGCTTTCTACTACCTTCTACGTCTTTATTTTTTTCCCTTCTCTTTTGGAGCACAGTTTCTCACTCCTGTCATTTCTTCTCGTCGCCTTTATCTTTTTAGGTATTTTCGGTTTTTTTTTCTTCTTTCTACTGATATGGTTTTTCGTTTCTTCATTTTTTTTCTTCTCAATCTGTTTCAACAAAATTTTCTTATTTTTCTACTGTTTCTTTATTTTTTTTTCTTCTCAATTTTGACATAATTTTTTTCCACTGTTTATTCTCTTCTAATCTTTTTGAGCCTTTTGGGTTTTACTGATTTAGTTATTTCTGCACTAATATGGTTCTTACTTTTTTTTTTTATCTATTTCATAAATTTTTTTCCTTTTACCGTTTCATCTCTTTGTCTTAATGTTTTATGTTTTTTTGGGTTATGTTGTTTTGTTCTGAAAAAAAAAAAAAAAAAATTTATTTACCTGATTTTTTTTACATGTTTTTCTTGCAAAGGCATTTACAAATGTTTTTCTTTGCATGTTTGTTTTTTATCTATTTCAGAATTTTAGTAATGTCTATTTTTCTTCATTTTTGTTTTCATTTTTTGTCTTTTCTCACTGTGGTCGGTTAGCTTAATTAGTTGTTCTTCCTTTTGATTTTTGCAGGACTCTTACTATCTCATCGTGTTAATTTTGTGGTTTGACACATGTTTTTTTCTCATTATGTAGTTTTGTGTAACGGAGGATTTATATGTGACTATCTATTGCTTATTGGCTACGTTTTACGGTGGTTTTGCTTATTCAGGACAGCTGTCATTGAGTAATCATGTTTTTGATATATCTATTTTTGCAGGAATTTTTATTGGAGATTGAGCGAAAATGTGATATCGTTGTGGATATATAATATGTTCTATTTTGTTGCTATAATTTCTTACTTTCTTCTGCATATTCAGTTCATATCTTTGCCTTTCTCGGTTTTGAATATTGTTTTGTTCAACCTGCTTTTGTTTTATTCAGAATATTAGTTTTTTCTACTACATCTATCCTATTCACTGTGTTTCCTTCATCGAGGTATTGAGTTTTCTTTTCTTATATATATTTCTTAGTTCTTATAAAGTATTTATTTATGGTGTTTTTCTGATTTATTATATGAATTTGGTCATTATTTGATTTATTTCAATATGTATTGATGTCTATGCTATTATGTGTTTTTTTTTTTTTTGTTTCGTTGTTTAGTATTTCAGTTTTCTAAAAAATTGTTATTTATGTAGAAGTTAGGTTCATAATTTACTTTATTTATTGCTTTGTCAATTTCTTTTAAACTTTTATTCTTTTTTGGTGATGATGTTGTTATTTTTCTTTTGTTGTCAACATGTGCTGGATGATTGTTATTACAAACTTGGTTGTCATTAATATTGCCTTTATTATTTTCGATTTATGTCAATATGTTTTAATCTGTTTTTCGTTTTAGTTTTAATTTTATCTGGTAAGTCAGGATTTTTGATTTGTTTGTGCCTTTTTGTGGTCCTTATTTTCAAAATTTTGTCTAAGTTCTGTTTTTAATCACTTTGATTTTTATGTACTTTCATTGTATCGTACTATCTTTAGTTTTTTACTTCATTTTTTGTTCTTAAATACGTTGTTTTTGTCGTTCGAGTGCATATTGTGGTTCTAAACTATAATAATTTTTTTTTCATTTATGGCATAAACTCCTTAATAATATAGCTCACGGCCATGTACATTGCTACGTCGTCTTTCAGTTACTTATGGTATATGTTGTTGACTATAAAAAAGGATTAATACGTGAACCAAATTTTTTATATATTATTTTCTACTTTTTTTATTCTTTCCTGATTTTCTTATGTTTTATACTTAATTGATAGTGCAATATGAAGGCTTTCCTTTTTGTTTATACATATTTATTCTATGTATGTGATATGTTAATGGAACTAAATGTATTTTAAAAAGTTTGACCTTTGTTCTTTTATAGAATGTAGTACTTATATACTATATTCATTATATGATACTAAAATATTTTTGTAATGTGCTTATTTGGACAAATAACGACTTTGTTACAGGATGCCTAATAAGCTTTGACTGTACCCTGATTGATGAATGAAGAGGTAATCAAATTTAAGAGCCACATAGGTAAATCAAGTTTACTATTTTATATCAATTATATATAGCAAGCATTTATATTATTTTAAATAGAATTTTAAACAATTTTTCCCATTTTAGCCTACAACCAATACCAACACCACAAATAGTAACACTAGCCGCATTTGATCCAAACTCCAACGCCCAAGAAATCAAGCACAAGGTAAAACATGTTGAGTATAACAAATATTGTGTACTAATTTAAATATATTTCTAAAAAATCTTCCGTGTTTTCAGCACTGAATCAAGAACAACAAAACACTTTGGAAAGCGTCCAAGAACAAGGTAATATAATATTTCTAAAATCTTTATTTTACACTATATAAAATAAATATTTTTGACTTCTTTAACATTTATATTTACTAACATTTTTTTTAACCTTTCTATCTTGCAGTTGAAAAAAACAAAATGAGAGCGCAAGACAACAACAATGTATTTTACTTTCTACATATGTATATATACATGTAAATATATTTTAAATAACAATACTGTATACATATATATATGTGTATATATGTTTATAAAAATTTCAAATCTATCACGTGATATAACACTGTATTCCGCAGCAAAAGCGCGGAGTACAAGCTTGTTTGTTACTATAATAATCGTCAACTATACTCACGCCAAAGCACGAATTTGTTTTATTGTGAATATAATTTAAAATATGAGAAAATTGGTTAATTTACGTATTATTTTAAGATTTATTGATTAATAACCTTTTGACTAATATTATTTTTTAAATAAGGAGTATTAGTTAAAAATAAGGAGTGAAAATTTAAGATTTATGCATTTTAAAAGGTATTTATTTCTATTCCGCTAAAAATATTTTAAAATATGTTAAAAAATACAAATGAAGTAAATAGGCAAGAGTAATCTTGATTTATAACCTTTACTTTTAATTCATAATCTTTTTAATTAAATAATTATATTAATAAAAATATATTTTATTAAAAATAAATGATAAAAATCAAGACTATGCACTAATTTTTTCAAATAGGGAAATCAAAATCTGTTGGGCAGCAATAGTTGGGCTATACATGAATGGCCTCATTGGCTCTTTGCTCATGGTGTAAGCATAAATCTCGCGTGATAGTCATATCAAATTTTTATGGGCTCTTGGTAATTTACACCCCTAAATTATTGTGCTTTGACAGTTTTTATCTTTTTAGATTTTTTAGAAATTTAGTCTTTCAATTTACAAAAGAACAGCAATCAGCTCTGGTTGCTGGATGTTAAATTTTTAGCATTTTAACAATAATTCTGTAGTACCTACGTTAATTCTCTAGATTTCTCGTGGTTGATTTTTTTTTTTTCTAAAATTTTATTTCCTAAATTTACAAACAAAAAAAAAAAGCACATGCATATGTGTTGGAAACTAATTTTATTTCTTAAATTTATTATCTTTTTTTCCTTCTCTAAATTACCAAATGCAAGTCATATAATTTATCGTCATCCGTACTAATTCCAGGTCAGCTGAGACCACCACAAGCACTTTCTTATATGCAGCTTTATGCTTTGTCGAAAGCAACAATTATGTCCCCAAGAAACGCAAGAATTGAAAGGAAAAAAGAACGCCATTGCCATAATGGAAAAGCGGAAAATTTTGTTAAAATAAATAAATAAATAAATAAACAAACAAAGAAAAGAGGCTACAAAAAATAAGCTGTATATAACATCATCATATATCATGTCATATATAATACAAAAGAGGTGAATGCCCACAATTAAGCTTTTCCATGCCCTGTGTGCCTAAAGTGGTGCACGTTCTCTAAAAGAAGTGCACCCATTACTTATTAATCCTAACTCTAACCTTCGACCATCAAATCCCCTCTTCCTAATTCTAAACCTCAAAAAAAAAAAAAATTCCAAACAAAAAAAAAGATGTAACTTTTGCACATGATAGCAAGAGCTTACAGTGAACGCCAACAAAAAAAAAAAAAAAAAAAAAAAAAAAAAAAAAAAAAAAAAAAGATGTAACTTTTGCATATCTCAATTAACTCTAAAACAAAACAAAACAAAAAAAAGGAAAAAAAATGAAACCAATGTTTTATCTTATTTGTTTAAACCAAGAGATCTTGTGTGAAATTGTTACAAGGTTTTGTAGTGTCCTTTTGAAGATTTTTGGAAGAAGAGGGGGATTGTGATGATGAGTCAGGAGACAAGGAGTGGCGAGTTAACTCGGAGAGCATTTGAACAACTTCTCGCATTGTGGGCCTCTCGACGCTGTTCTCTTGGACGCAAAGCGTGGCAATGAAGAACAAGTGCATGGCTTCTTCTTTAGGCACATTGTAATTAGCAGTTGTGGAGGTGGTCATGAGCCTCCTATCCACTATTTGTAGAACGTCTTCTCTCCGACAATTGGTTGCTTTCTTGCACCATTGCACTATGTCCACACCCTCTCCGAACTCCCCAACCGGCCGTCTTCCGGTCAGGAGCTCAAGCAACACCACGCCGAAGCTGTACACGTCACTCTTCTCATCCACCTTTAGTGTGTATGCATATTCTGCAGTTTCAGAAATGGTGACATGTTACTTTGGAATACAAGTTGATGAAAATAGGGCAAAAATGCTACAAATCTCCATTTCGCGCCTTAGTTTTCTGCCTGGAAGAGGCCTACATGGCCCAAGTATATGTTTTCTGTTCGGCATGCTAAAGGGAAGCCCAGCCCACAAGGGGTCCAAACGTAAAACAATATTTTTTTTCCACTGTTATGTACTAACTACAAAGTAACAGCCTATATAGAAAAGATGTACCGGCTAACCAAATTCACTAGAAGATGAAAATTTAATGAAAATAGCGATATATATATATATACACACCAACTCTTTTATATTTTCTTTTATTACAAAACGATGAAAGGAAAATAATATTTGAATGAGCATCCATGAGGTTTTCAGTAATAAAAGTAATGTGTAACTGAATGGTGAATACTGATTTTGCGAGGGAAAAATTTATAGCTCTGAAAGGAAATAAAGCATTCAAGTATGGGGAATCACGTAGTATGAAAAAATGTGAAAGAAAAACAAAAAAAGGAAAATAAAAGAAAATAAAACAGGGAAAGTGGAAATCAAAAGGCAGTCCAATGGGACGACAAAAAGAGGCGTCAACTTGCCGGAAAAAGAAAAAAAAAATTAGAAAAAAGGACAAGCAAACGGTAATAGGGCGACAATCTAATGAGGAATTCTTCTTTACACGTAAGAACATACCCAATGCTTTAAAGCCGTACTTAATATGGGGGGTGTGTGTGTATACATGTGTGTGTGTATATATATATATATATATATATATATACACACACTCACACACACACATGAGTAGAGTAAATTTGGATGAAACAACAAAAGCCAAACAAAGAGTGAGTTGGGTGGTGGTGGTGTGGGGTTAAAACTAAAAGAAACGTGCATGTGGGATCGCTTTCACAAAACTCAACACTGTTGTGTTGTTACGTTAGACATCACTGTCAGACTGAGAGTTTTGCAGTGGTAAGTGTATATGTGTCAGTACTTTCACATCTCAGAAAATACTGCTATGCAATATGCATGGCCTAATGTGGACCCTACCCATTCCTTTGCAAACGACCCCGGCACAGAATTAATAAAAGACTCAATTTACACCCGTTTAATTTATTAATTTAAGTTTTTAATTAAAAATAAAAATTTAGGTTAATTTGATCACAACAAATCAAGATTGTTTTTGCAATCTACTTCAGAAGAAAGTAACTATGAGAAGAAGTCCCTTTTACATGCATAATTTGTTAGTGGATTTGAGCAAAAGATCATAACAAAAAGTAATAAAATGTATCAATGATGTCCTACACGTAAAACATGAACATGACAATGACATGTGAATGAGCAATTTTAATGTTCGACATTATTAATACTTTTTTTTTATACACGTACGTAAATCTACTAAATTGAAGATATTTCAGGTATTCTTTTTGGAAATTTCCTAAAAGTGCATAATTTAATGATTTTATTTTTTTAATTATTCAAACTTTTTTTTCGTTCATAAACGTAAAGCATTATTAGGCCAAATGGGGCACTAGAATCATACTCATGCATAAATAAAAGTCTACAATGAAGCCAAAATTTGGTGATTCTAGTTTCAACCCCGGTGGGGCCATCCCTTCTTAAGATTTAAGGTTCGTTTAGTTGGAGGATTCAAACCATGTGATTCGAACTATTTTCGATTTACGTGTATTTTTTGTGAGAGAAAATACTGTAACGAACCACGAATCATGATTCGAATCAGGGAACGAATCCCTCTACCAAACGCCCCCTTAATCTCAAAGGAAATCACCAACAACAACAACAATAATAATAATGACTAATAATAATCCAACGGCAGAGATGGTAGAGCCTACAATTTTTTTACAGTTCTAATATCTCTAGATAATTAACTAACTTAACTAAAAAAATAACGGCCACTCATAGAAGACAAAGCGATCAGAGGAGATCAAGAATTTGGACGTACCAGGAGCAATGTAGCCATAAGAGCCGGCGATCGCCGACATACACTCCGACGCGCCGCCGTCGAACAAGAACTTGGCGAGTCCGAAGTCCGCCACGTGGGCTTCGAAATTCGAGTTCAACAGAATGTTGTTTGACTTGACGTCTCTGTGAACTATCAACGGCGAGCAATCATGGTGAAGATAGCATAGCCCTTTGGCAGCTTCAATGGCGATTTTGTACCTCAAATTCCACCCCAAGAACGCTCCTTTTTTACCATGTAAAGCCTCTCCCAAGCTTCCGTTCCTCATGTACTCGTACACGAGAAGATTCGTTTCCTTGTTGGAGCAAAACGCAAGCAGTCTGACGATGTTCCTGTGCCGGATGTTGCCTAGTGTTTGAATCTCCGCTCGGAAGCCGTGGTCGTGGCTGCTCGGCCCGAATCCGAGGAGTTTCTTGACGGCGACTTCGACGCCATTCGGCATTTTTCCATGGTAGACTATCCCGGCTCCTCCTCTGCCGATTACGTTGCCGTCTTTTACGCATTCGAGGACGTCAGAGACGGAGAATTCGACCTTCTGAAAGGCGGTCATCTTCCACGACCCGGCGCCGCCGCTTCTCTTTAGCGATTTGGCTTTGATCACGGCGGCGGTGGCGAAGACAAGGGAGCATATCAGCAGGCCTAATGCGAAAACCAACTTGAAATCCGCCGGGCCGGATTTTCTCTCCGCGGCGGTGACGGCGGTGAAATTGCAGGGGCTGTTGATCATCATTAGAGTGCTTCCGCCGCAGAGTTGGGGGTTTCCGGCGAATGACGAGGCGTTGAAGAATGCGAATTGGCCGGTCTCCGGTAGCTCACCGGAGAGTTCGTTGAAGGAGAAGTCGGCCGTCGTGAGGCTCCTCATAGTGCCGATCGATCTCGGTATCGATTGGTTGAGGTGGTTTCTTGATAGGTTCAGGTGATTCAGGATTCGGATGTTGGAAATTTCCGGCGGGATCGCGCCGGAGAGGTTGTTTTGGCTCATGTCGAGGTAGGTGAGGTGAGAGCAGTTGCCGATTTCTGGCGGGATTTCGCCCGAAAACGAGTTTCTGCTGAGATCAAGCACTAATACTTGGCGAAGTTCCCCGATAGAAGGCGGAATGGGGCCCAAAAATCGGTTCGCGCCGAGGAGAAGGTTTTGGAGTGAAGAGAAGTTGGAAATGGAAGATGGTAAAGGACCGGATAAGAGATTGTTTGAGAGATTAAGCTCCTCTAATTTCATTGGCTTTGAAGACGAATAATTAGCATTCTCAGACAATGACCCAGATAGGTAATTGTCTTGCAATTCTGCTAATTTCATCTGAGGCAGGTAAATTAAGCCATTTGGTATGCTACCATTAAGGTAATTCTGCCCCAGTCTCATCCTAGTTAAGCTAGAACATGCTCCCAAACCCTCCGGGATAGGTCCGAAGAAGAAGTTTCGCAGCAGAATTAGCTCCCTAAGCCGGTTCGACGCGCACAAGTTGGGTGGAATCGTGCCGGTGAGCTTGTTGGTGGACAAGTCCAGCACTTGGAGCTTTCGGTTTTCGCCTAGTTTCTGAGGAATCACGCCTGTGAAGTTGTTCTTCCACAGTCCAAGAGTCTCCAAATTAGGGAATTCCGCAATATAGTCCGGGATGGAGCTGTGCAGGCTGTTCATGAAGAGGTTGAAGAGCTCTAGCCGCTGGAGGTTCGCAAACTCGACGGGGATTTCCCCGGTGAGCGCGTTGTTGGAGAGGTCGAAATTGATCAAGTTTGTGAGATTTCCCAACTGCCTTGGGATTGAGCCAGAGAGCAAATTGGCGTACAAGTAAAGAGTGTCTAAAGCCTTCAGATTCCCAAGTTCATGTGGGATTTGGCCATCCAATTCACAGTCTGACAAATCCAAGTGAACTAGATTAACCAATTTCCCAAACTCCACTGGAATCCCACCTTCAAAAACATTGTAATGCCCCAATTCAAGCCTTCTCAAGTTAGTGAGATTGCCTAATTCACCTGGGATTTTCCCATTAAGATCATTCCCAAGCAGGGACAAGTACTCAAGCCCAACTAACTCTCCATAACTCACCGGGATTTTCCCGAAAAAGAAGTTGCCTCCGAGATCTAAGTGCTTCAACTTCTTCAAGCTGAGAATCCCTAGTGGAAGAGAGGCATTGAAGTTATTGTCGTATGCATCAAACACTTCCAAGTTGGGAATACTAGAGTAGCTCCAATCCAGGCCTCCATACAACTGGTTGCTTGAGATATTGAGGAAGCGAAGATTCAGCAAATTCGCGATGTCAATGCTTCCGGTGAAGTTGTTTCCGGCAAGAGAGAGGTGTGTGAGCTTGTCTAGTCTTGAAATCAGAGGTGTTGAAACAGAACCGCGAAGGCTTAAATCAGTCAAGTCAAGTGAAACAACTCTTCCTGATGATCTAGAGCAATGAATTCCAGTCCAAGAACAGACCGAGCTTAGTGCCAATGGATTCCACGAGCTTAATGCCGGTTCGGGGTATTCGAATCCTTGCTTGAGCTTAAGCAAGACGTGAAAATCACTAAGCAGAGAAGAGGCAGAACAGGACGTGGTTAGAAGAAGAGAGAAAAGTGTATAGACAATGAAAAGGACCATGTTGTTGTTGTTTTTTTTTTTTTTTTCTCTTTGTTGGTTTCAAGAAAATTGAGTTTGGAAGCACTCTAAGGAAAGAGGAAGGGATTTAAGCATCTGGGCAAGAATGGATTTTCCGGGAAAGGGAGGGAAAGTGAAAGGAATCTGAGGGATGTCAAGTGTGTATGGGCTTAAGGAATCAAACATCTTCACAGAAAGAGTCTTCAAATACAAAGAAGAAGCTAAGCCTCTCCTTTTCTTCTTTTTTCTCTCTCTCTTTCTCTTTCTCTTTTCTTTACTTTTCTTTTCTTTCAGAGAAGAGACGAAGATTGAAATTCTGCTAGAAATGGTACAAGGGCTATCTGTAGTTTCTCTATGTAAGCCATCCTTTAGGCGAAGCAAGAAGAAAAAGCAGCTGAGGGAAAAAGAGAAAGGGTGAGAAGAAGGTAAATAAATATATTTTAAAAAATGGGAAATAAAAAGGCCGTTGGATAACTGAAATTTAAAGTTTTAGATTAGAGGAGGGAGAAGGAGGAGGAAAAAGTAAAGTTGATGATGCTTTATTTCTTTATTTCTTTATTTATTCGTTTGACAAAAATGCCCTTTAGCTTTAATCAAAGAGAAGCCCTTTATTGCTTTGAATGAGAGGAGTGATGGAATTGCACTTTCAATCATTGGAAAATGGCTTCCCTGTCCTGATGCTTTTTGCTAAATGACTACTAGATTAGCCCTTGATATTTCTGCTGTGAGAATTGGAGAAGACATTTTAAGAAGAAAACAACCAATGCTTATCGCGCCTAGAATGTTCTATCTTACCCAATTACTCAAACCTAAAGTGTGAGTCAATAATAACGACTATAACAACTTGGTTTGCAAACTTATTTGAGCGATAAATCACATTCATTTTTAATATAACTTTGAAGTTTAGAGTTCAAATTTTCCCACCCCACCAGGAGACTGAAATTATTGTTGTGACTACATTATTTAGAAAGTTAAGTTTCTATAACCAAAACTCACTTTTACTTATCAAATCCTAAATCTACATTGATAAGGAATGTGTCTAACTTGGCCATTATAAAATCTTCATATTGGACTGAGGCATTGTTCATCATTTATATGCATAAATATTCAAGAAGAGTTTGTGTATGATTGCAGGGATAACTTGGGTATAATTGCTTGACATCATAGTGCTGAGAATGAATTTCCACAAGCAATTATAATACAGCTTGCATATTTTATTCATTGCCATGTTAAAAAAAGAAAAAAAAAATGGTTTCTAGTATGCAAGATGGCAAGGAAAAGCATAATAAACATCCTTGATTTGTATATTACGTGGAGGACCCATCAAAAAAGTATTAGAGCATATCTGATATAGCTTATCCCTCTCCATCGTCATCATAAGTGTAAGCACTCTCACGTGTACCTCATCGATTGGTTGGTTGGAACCATAATGGGTTTGAGAACCATACAACATCATTGTGTATTTTTGGTGCAGATATTTCATCATCTCTTGCTTGTAAAACACATTCACAAAGGGACGCAGTTAAGTCTTTCTATATATGTGTGTGTCTATGGAAGAATTCTTATGCTAGGGTAAAACTTTCATTACGCTTTGTTGAATCTATATTTTTTATATTTAAAACACAAGAACAATAACGAGCAAAATAATGTCATAGAGCATCACCCACTAATAGAAAGTTAGTCTCGCTCGCAGACAGAAAATTTAAAGATGGGACCCGCCTTCCTATTAGTAAGGGTATTTACCTCTTGTTCATATCCTTAAAACATTTTTTTTTTCCCTAATGATCCAAACGTACGTTTAGAAACGAACTGCAAGAATCCCTAGCACTCTGTAAGTATGGCGTGTAATTTTTTTACCCTCATGAGTCGGAAACATGTGCTCTGCAAGATTGCAGTGAGTGTAAGAGGTAAAAGATGATGATTATTAATATATCATTACAATGTTGTTGAATGATCAATATATAATTATGTTGTATGAATAGGCTGCATGGAAGAAAGAACCTAGCAGTGGAAGCTTTATTATTTGTTTTCCATCAACTTTATTCCTTCCCCTTCCTTGCCCTACAGGAATGGGACCAACCCTCTATGTAAAATGTGTTGTTTTGAGAGCTTTTATTAGAAGAAGATGTAATAGTCTTAAAGAGAGGGCTGAAAAGTAAAAGCAGACATATATAAATCTGCTTTTGATCTTCTTCCCACTTCAAAAGAAAAAACAGGAAAATGAAATAAAGCAAAAAAGAAAAAAAAATCCATGAAACCTCTCTCCCTCATGGAAAAGAGTGCTCTTGTATTGTATTAACTTGAACTTAGCATAACTCTCTCCCTTTCTTTCTCTCTCAAAAAAGAAAAATCCATGACCACCCCATACATGGGAAAGATGTATTAACATGTTCAATTCTCTCTCTCTCTCATATTTATGTTGCTCTTTTTTTTTTCTGGGTCATAAAGTAGTGGTTGGCTTTATTTTGATAACTCTCTAATGGCGAGTGTATATGTGTGTGTATTTGTGTGCCCTTTTGGAGGAGTCTCTATCTGGCTTATTGATGGGCAGACCTGCCCTTTGGAAGGGTCATTGTCGTATGGCCAGGCTTTCTGATGCGCTAATTATTATGTGATCACTCAAATGTTTAGTGAAGTCACGGCATACTTGTGGAGTCTTATGTTTGTAGGTAAAGTCCAAGAGCTTCGCTTTTGTCTAAACCTTCCGTGCCTACTCATACTAAGACAAGTCATTTCTGCTTCTAATTTTGTTCCTTAAAAAAAAAAAATCAAGCTGAAGTACAAAAAAAAAAAAAAAAGTCAATTTAACACAACTTGATGAAAATCTAATATTAATTTATCAAAGTGGGCGATTTAGATTAAGTAGACGTTTGGTTCATAGATTTTAAATTATGATTCAAAACTATTCTCGTTTTACATGTGTTTTTTGTGAGAGAAAAATACTGTAAAGAACCATAAATTATAATTCAAAATCATGAATGAATACAAAAAACAAACATAATATAAGATATTCGAACCAAATGAAAAAGGAGGTCGGCATTGTTTTGTGGTAAATGTTTTTCCCATTTAACTTTAGATCATTTTTGTTAGGAGGCAAAACCAATTTTAAGGCAGAAGGGTAGTTTATGTCAGTGTAAGAACAACCTCAAGTAGAGGAATAATGTTGATGAGTAGAAAGGGTACACCATGGGAATAAATATTCATATAGTTGACTTTTTTTCTATGTTGTGAACTTAAAACATTTTTGGTGCAAAAGAACAGAACCAGATTCTGATCTTTCCGTGCAAAGAGCAGCAGCTATAGCTACAAGAGAGTTGATTAAAGTTGTTGAATTATTGATCCACAGCCGAAAGAAACGACACACATTTATTCCTATATCGTCCGTTGGTGCCTTTTCCAGAATTAATAATCAATCAGATCAAAAGGATTGGCAACCGAAGAACAATTCATCATCATCTATATATGCATTCACACGCAAACCAGAAAAAAAAAAAAAAAAAAAAAAAAAAAACATGAGTTTTTTTCCCCTTCTTTTGATGAAACCTAATAAAATAAGTTCTTCAAAGGAATCCAGGATAAATTCTTTCCAAAGATTTGCACTTTTGTTCCCCCTTTTTCCCTCAGGTTTTTAGTGCTCGCCCTCCTGAAATTTTTGTGATTTGGTAATTTCATCCATATTCTTTTCGGTGATTCAGTCATTTAATTTTTAAAAGAACAACAATTAAATTTGGTCGTTGGTAGAGTTTGCGGTTTTGGGAAATTCTTTGACTATGTGGTTCACAGATTTAGAACTATTCTCAATTTATGTGTATTTTTTATGAGAAAAAACACTGTAACGAGCCATGAACTATGATCCGAACCATGACACAAATTCTCATATCAAACACCTTCTAAATCAATAAAAAAAGATAATAAAATTTCATGGAGCAAAGTACTAAATTACGAGAAGTTCAAGAGGACAACAATGCTTAAAAGAATATAATCATTCTATCCAAAATTCAACCCCGTTAGTGATTTAAGTTAATTCTCACTATTTTGTAAATTCAATGACTATATTGTTAAGAAAAAAACCTCATTAAAACACAATTAATTTAGAGAATTCTACAATAGAATGTAAAAAAAATCCTAACAGTATGGTTCTGTTTTAAATCGTCACATTACAAGAAATTTTGTAAATTTGTATGTTTTTTTATTTCTATTTCATGTGATTTTAATTAAATTTAACATTTAAAAATATAATAGTCGAGGTAAACTCCATAAGTTTAAAAGACACGGGAGCTTAAATCAACGGATGCGTTTAAAACTCATTCCAAAATGATTTTATTTTTTGTATGAAAATGAAAACGTATATTTGGTAGTTTTATCAAGAAATTATTTTCAGTATAAAAAAATTTATTAATGTCTCTCTCTCTGTTCGAGAGAAGAAAAAACGGAAACAATAAATGAAAAATTACCTCTCTTATTTTATACTAAACTAAAAAATTATTTTTATTTTTAATTTTTGTCTTTAATTGTATCAAACGGTATTTTTCTCTTATTTTTATTTTTTTCCTTAAAAAATGTAAAAAAAATAAAAATAACTCCAAACAAACTGTTTGTGTTTTTCTGAGAAAAAAGAAGGCAAAAGTTGATTCGCTCTGTGCTGGCTTATGACGAAGGCGTTCTTATTTTAAGCTTAAACCAGGACTGATGCCAGTGCCATGCCAAAGCAAAGGACACTGGAAAACCACTTACTTACAAGTACTAGAGGATATGTAAGTGGTAGTGTCACATCCAAATTATGGACTCACCAAAAGTCCTTCAGAGTACCAAACAAAACTGCTCTGTCATCAGCCAATCGATAGGCTTCCGCTTCTCTTCCCATACATTGGTCTATGATGAGAATTAATTATTATTTTAATCGTTAGAATAATTTTTTAACATGTGATCGAAAATTATTTTGTGTCACGCACTAAATTTTTAACGTGAAAATTTTCATCTTTACTTACACATGCAGAATATTTCATAATTAATGTCAAATACTGAAA